TCAGTTCGATGCTCTGAGATGGTCCGGAATGTTCCATGTTCCTGGTTTTATCGACGCCCGATTATGAGCGCGTTCTACGCCTGTACGTGTGATGTAACTAAATAGCTCTCTGTTGCTGAAATCCCTGACTGAAATCATTTTCTTTGTGAACAGCTGAAGTTTCATGGACAGATATAACATAGGTCAACATAATGACAAAGGCCACTATTTCTCTGTGGATTATTTGATTCCCCTGCTTTATTGTTAGAAGTTGGTCCTGTCTGTAAACTGCGATTTGATGACCTTTGATGACACGTTGGGTGACGGCTTCAGTTTCGGAAAACTCGCAAGTTTAATAAACATTTCCCTTCAAAATTCATGCTAAACACCTCATTTTCATGTTAACTGGTGAAAGTATACCTATGTTTCATCTAGTGTTGTAAGCTGGAAACGCAAATATCAGCAAACATTTGTAATCGAGTGCCGGTTTAACCGTGGTTTATCGTAAACAAACTCCGTGTTACTGGCAACTGATTCGAATATTTCTGCTGATTAATAAAAATAGCCAGCATTTACATTGCTGCCCATTAGTTCTGGCTTTCTCTCTTAGATCTTGGCTTTAGGGTGCTCTTCCATCGATTCAATTTTGAACTTCGCTGGATACTGAACTATTAGTGGCCACTGGAAATTAACTAAAGTCAACAAATGTAATCACGCTAGCCAGTGAAATATAGTTATTCCCACAGTTAACATTCCAAAGCTAAGGCGGTTCAAAGTCGTGTTCGTGAACTGCATCATAATAATTGTTGTCCCAGTTATGTAACAAAAGTGCGACATCTTGCATCCTGACCAAACAGGCCACGCACGGTCCAGAATCAAAACTACTAGAATTTGAAAAGAGTGATCGTGTATGATCGACAAAGCAAATCGTCTCACGTCATGTGCGATGATGTGATTTCTTTTCGCCCGGCCAAAAAGTCTTACTCCAGTCTGCATTTGAACTGCATTCCCTTTTTTGCGAATGCAGTCAGAGTAGAAACCCCAAAACGTCGAAAACAACGAAAGAAGCAACAAAAAATAACAAAAATGACGTGGCAGATGGACACGAAAACGAGGCCAAAAGCCCCTGAAAAAAACAAGAGGGGCGGGTAATTTGCAGTCTTCACAAACTATCTCGATTTCTCGCGGCTGCAGACAGGCAGAAAGGAAATTAGGATGCGTTCTCTCGTTTCTCGAGAACGCAATAAACAAGCGTCTAAACTTCAACAATCTAGAAATTCTAATTGGAGCTAATTGAAAATACATATTACCGTGTACGTGACGCTAGTCACGTAATACATGTGTGTAGCGTCTTTTTAACTTACATTTTGGCTTTTTCTACAGTTTTATGCATCTTGTGTGAATTAAAAAAACGATGTTGAAATAATGGCATGTATCAACTTTCTTTTGGTGTATTTCCTACTAAGCATGGCCCGTAAATGGAACAAAAACAGACTAGCGAGCTCAACAGTATAGTTCTTTGAACATAACGCATTATGCAAATTTGAGAAGAGACTGTCGCGAATTTTTGCATTTTACCCTTGTGAACCTCGATTGCCCAGATTTTTTTTCTTCATATTATTGTAGTAGAAGCGACATAGTTTAGCACAATACCTATTTTGGCTCCATATCGGAGATACCAAGATGCGTTTTAAGCCCGGTAAAACTACGCAATTTTTGTTGTTTTCATAGGGGCTTGAAATGGCAATTCTTTGATAGTCGACAGAACCCTTCGAAATGCTTGAAAATTTTAAAACTTCCTATTGTTAGATCGAAGAGAGGTAGATCTCTTATGCTAAGTTTACTCCGTGTTCTAGTTTTTTAAATTGTTTTAATGCGAATACCGCGAACTTTGTCAATTTTCCAGGTATTTTTTGCATATTTAATGAACAAAAAGCTGTATTTTCGGGGTTTTTTCTGCGAATATCTCGAAGAGTTTAAATTCTTAGAGAATCGATATAATTTTTTCGAAAGTAGTTCCCTTAAAGCGTTCTTTAGGCAAAGTTTCAGGATTTTCGATTTTTCAAGCCTGGCCAGCCATTCTCGATATTTCCAGTCAGTGACACAACCCTTTAAGGGGTATCTGAAACCGTCGCCCAGATAAACAAAGGGCTAAGAAGAACGGAATTCGATGGTGCATTTTGCAAAAAATTCAAACTTCTAGTCAATAGATTTTCTTTCTTTTTTTTTTTTGTCAAACGTAGAAAATCGGTACAGAAAATGATCCTTGAAAAGAAAAATAGGGGCCACCGAACGTCCAAGATCGTCGAATCCAGGGAAAGCTATAGCAACGGCCATTTGTCCTATTATTTTTCATTTTATTACTAAGCGCGCGCGCTCATGCATAACGTGGAATGTGAGTTTGCGGTAACAAAGAAAAAG